TATGAGGATGAGCTCAAGTAGTTGAGTTCATCCGAGGTTGCTTACCTTATCCAAGGTAGTTGACCTCGGAAAGGACTATTATGAGGATGAGCTCACCATAAAGGGATTTCTCTAGAACCCACCCCACATGGAGTCCCTGCACTCTTCCATCTCTAAAATAGCAATGTATATCTATAATCATAAGTGCAAATGAGCAAAGTAGCATGATTATGATATATAAAAAATGAGATGGCAAAATGATATTATGAATGTAAGAACAAGTGCAGAATGAATGGAAAAATGTGGAATGAATGCAAAGAATGTGGAAAGCAATTAATAATAAATTTTAATATAAGATTGGACCAAGCTTGGACCAAAGCTCTAATTTGCTGCAAAGCTCAATTGCTTTCTTGACAATCTGTATCACAAAGACTTGAAAAAAGGAGAAATCAAAGGCATCCAGTTTTATAATCAAGAAAGTATATTATATAAAATAAATAAAAGAAAAATATTGCAAGTTCATCTATTTTAATTTTCAAAACAATACATGGTTGATGAACTAAATTTATATGCATACTAATGTAAAATTTATGCCTTGATATTATTGACATTTGGATGAATTTTATGAAAATTTACTTAATTTTGCATAATTTTCGTTATGTGCTGGAGAGGACTTAATTGGAAAAAGTCACAATCCTTAGGAGTAACCTGCAAAGATACGAAACTTGAGGATTAAATTGTGCAAAATCCAAAAGTAAGGGGTCGGTATTGTAATTTTACCGTTAACAGAATTTGCAGAGAAGGACAAAAACCCGACACGGACTCTTTAGGACGGATGCAGGAAAAGTGCGGCACCTTGTTGAGGGTGTTGACACCTTGGAGCTCGTGCTGCACATCTTTCAGTTCATGCTCGACCTCTGCACCTCGTGTTTAAGTTCTGCACTTCATGCTTGGCCTTTGCAGCTCGTGACTGACCTCGGCAGTTAAGTGTTTGAACTCTGCAACTCATGCTCAAGTTCTGCACTTCGTGCTCGACCTCTGCAGTAAGTGTATAAGCTCTATAGCTTATGGTTGACCTCGGCAGCTCATGTTTGAGCTCTGCACTTTGTGCTCGACCTCAAGCTCATGGCTTACCTCGGTTGTAAGTGTTTGAACTCTGCAGCTCGTGCTCAAGTTTTGCACTTCATGCTCAACCTCGACAGCAAGTGTTTGAGCTCTGCACTTCGTGCTCGACCTTTGAAGCTCATGGTTGACTTCGGCTGTAAGTGTTTGAACTCTGCAGCTCATGCTCAAGTTCTGCACTTTGTGCTCGACCTCGGCAGCAAGTGTTTGAGCTCTGCGGCTGGTGGTTGACCTCGACAGCTTGCAGCTCATGGTCCAACATTTTGCACCTCGGCATTTCGCAGCTCGTGCTTCAGCATCTCGCACCTCGGACTTGTGCGATTTGTAGCTTGGACTTCTGCAATCCGTAGCTTGTGCTCAAGCAAGACGTTTATGACAGCTCATGCTCAAGTAGGATATTTGCACCTTGTGCTCCAACGAGTTGTTTCAGCTCGTGCTCGAGCAAGATGCTTGCAGCTCATCATTGTCAAGCTTGAGTAATGGAGCCCAACCATAGTCGGCCCGGCCATAGTTGCTTAGTCTTCTTCTGTCATTGGAACCATAGGCTTTTGTTCTCTAGCAGCTGATTAGAGGGATTTTCACACTAGCAAGCTTTTAGCTGAGAGCTGAGGCTGCAATTTTTTATGAGCAAGGGATAATGGTATTTCGGGAATCTCGGACTTTGATGACGAGGACGGAGAGCTTGAGGCATTGGCGGATGGCGCGGGTGTCGGCAGCCATGTGAGCGGGGAACCAGTTGATGACTCCACCATCTTTGGCACCTCCCAACTCCATGCCTTAACCCCATTTCTGTTTCCTTCATTTTCATTATCACCAACTAAATAGATGAGAAGTACATTTATGGTTGACGAACAGAGAGGCACATGACCGCCATAGCTTAAGCTTGTGTTTTGCTGACACTTTTTTGCTTTTTGAATACTCATGGCTGACATTGTAACTTGCCTCGATAGTTGTGCAGAGCTACTCCCTTGTTTGTCTTTTTGTGAAAGCTTCTCTTCTTCATGGGCGAATAAACCCTTTTCATCGCATTTGCTTCTGCAACTCAAGTGTAAACTTCTGCAACTCAAGTGTAAATTCATCTAATCTGCTTCTACAACTCAAGTGAATAGGCCATGAGGCCTTCACTCGTTTTCTCCTCCCTCCAATCAACCGGATCAACATAGAAATGAAGCTTTTTGTTCGGTTCCCACAGACGGCGCCAATGTTGTTGCTGAAAACCTTCAAGATCTTGCTTCGGTCTAATTCTTCTCCAAGTGGTCCTGCAAAATCCCGAGGTGGGTTCTCGGGGTAGACACTCCGATACTTAAGTCAGCAATAATCGGGGCTACCTTTAGAGTGGATATAATTTTATATTGTTAATTAAACCTTTTTACATAAGTCAGCATAGATCTTATCCTTAAATTCATGCCATAAAAATAATTTTACAATTTTCTGCGTCATTTAGGCAAGAACAGAGACTGAAGGATAAAACGAAAAAGTGAAGTGTGGTTACATCATCGGTTCCATTGGAGCTGATTTAATTCACCTGAATTGTATGTGAAGTAATTTAATTTAATAACAAAATATATCAGTTAAAAAATTATAAAAATAAAAATAAAAAGTGTCATTTTAATAAATTTAGAAAGTAAAAAAAATGCTAAAATACTTTATTTTTACCCGTGAAAACTTGTGTTGCTTTTAAAGAAAATAAAAAGGTTTGTTGTCTAGTTAAACATAATTTTTTAATTTATTGCACTTGATCTTTTGGGTCAACTGACACCCAGTTAGTTTGAGGTGCATTCTCCCCTCCTTATGAGCGGGTTTTGAACCCGCTCCTTAATAACTTGTTCAAAAATAAAAATAATAATAATAATCTTTCAATTTATTTTTTTTTAAATGATTAAAAATGCAGTCAACAAATTTAACTCCATGCAAGCTATGTATTAAAAAAAAATTTTGACACATCAACAAAGCATCATGCCCTTAACCGTCTCCGTTATCCACGTCCATAATTCGCATCCAACGACGCCTTGCTTGGTACAATTGAGAAGTTTAACTCTTCAATTAGAAAATTTGAAAACTGGACCCCTTGTATGGAAATATTATGATAGTTTGACTGCCTATTTAACTAGTTTTACCGGGACAGGAGACGTTGTCGTTTTCTGTTTCCCGCATTATAATAAGCAAAACTTTTTCCCAATTCGCCTCCAATGAAACCAAACTCTAGTTTTCAAATTGCACGATCTGCGTTCAAAATCTAGACAGATTCTGAACAATTTCTTTAGGTTCTCATACTTATTGTAGCAAGGTCATATTATTTGAAAGAAATTTTATTTGTTTTTTTGCGAGGAAGAGTACTTTCGGGAAAAATAGCTTCGTAAGGTCAAATTCATTTTCTGGCGTCGCCACTGGCCGATCGCAAGAGAAAGGGAGGCATCACACTTCTCGGAGAGAGGTTCCGTTGCAAGATGATACCTATTGAAGTTCTGGGAATTTAGATTGGGTCTTTTGAAGAAAAGCCATAACTGTATCAGCAGGAAAGACTCGTAGTCTTTTTAAGGCACTCGAAAGCTGGTATTCTTGACAATGTTAGTTGTAATGTCGCGGAAGTACATCAGGTATTTTACTGCAATGCAGCCTCCAAAGCTTTTTCTCAGCACAGGGTACCCATTGTCTTACCTTCACCATGACTGCATCCTACATATCCTTTATTGGGACATATCAAACGACGCCAATCTATAGGTTTTTGTTTCTGATTTTGTTTCTACTGACATTGTCAACATCACTGTCTTCTTTGCAATATGTGTTGCTAAGTGACACATTGGACTCAAAGAAGCAGAAATGCTATTCAGAACACTGTAGTTGCTGCTACACTTGCATTCGCTTGCTTGCGTGCAAAACTCAAGTCTGGCCAACATTGAAACATGTTTCTCAACACTTTGTTGCCTGCCGAAGGCCGCTTTTGAAGTCCTTTTCAGCTATTTCTCTATTGGAGCTGGCAACAGTGAATTTGAATTGGCCTATGGAGAATGAAAGAGAATCTCAACTAGAAGTTTCAGGTGATCCTGACAATTATCATGGGTCTTCTTCAAATGAAATCCTTGATGTCTGATTCTGGGAATCCAATGGCTATCTTGTTTTGGTAAGGGAACCAAGAAAACAACTTCCTCCTTTCGTTAATAAAGGAGTACCTGACGTGTGTGATTTATATTTTACTTCTTTTATACACATTCATCAGTTAATAAACCTCTGAGATTTCAGGAATTATTTTGGCAAACGTAATGGAAAATTAATGTTGTTTCAAAGTTATTTCAAAATCCATTTAGTCATTTGATTGTTAATAAGGAGCTTAAATAGCAGATCTGCTCATCTTTGTTCTTCAGTTAGTAGAATTAAAGATCTTTATCTCTCAGCTGCATTGTAAACTCGTAGTATTTTGTCACAGCAAGGGATAAAGAATCAAGAAAAATCAACACAAAATTTATGCCAGGTGACCTATACAATACATTCACAAGCAAAGTTGTTGAAGTTTCCTTAAGAAACGGCTGCTCAAGTTTTAGCCAAAATTTTGACATCAATGTGACATCATTCTTTCTCTTTCAGTCAATGAACGTGACATCAAAGGATAGGCTCTCAATTGATGAGAAAAGTTAGCAAATTCAGATAGGGTAGGTGGTATCTTTGGTCCCCAAATAAAGAAAACGAAGAACTTAGTCATCTTCGATCATCATCGATGGTACAAAGTCTTCAATTTCAAAAGAAAACTTATAGAACTGTACTTGATGGTATGCAATGCTGATATTCTTTATCATGATAGTTGCAAAAGAAATTCATCATACATACATGATTTTCTCTTTTAATATCACAGGATTAAAAGTTTTTTTTTTTTTTCAACACTAAACAATTCGGGCAAAAAATGATTTTTTTCAAGGTATTTGTAAAATTTAAAATCTCAATCAACCAATTTAAGTATTTTAAAATTTAAAAATAAACTACTTAGATATAAAAATTTAATTTAAAAATTAAAAATTTAACATTAGTAAAATTTATATTTTTTATTTTAATTTTAAATTAAAAATTTTAAATTAATAAATAACAACTCAACTCAATTTTTATTAATATCATATATACATAATAAATTTACAAATTTTGAACACCGTGTTAGTTTTTTATCTGCTTGTCATTCGTACCCAAACTCATTTTCTTCCCCATTATCCCGCGAGCTTGACTTGTGTGTAACAGGACCAGTGTTATTTGTCAGACTACTTGCTCACCATCCACTAACAGCTACCACAAGTAGACAAAGTCATTTCAAAGCGCTGCCAACATATTGACCACAAAACTTGACAAATCAGACCTCTCTTTTGACTGGAGCTAATCAAACTTGACATTAGGGAACCCGTTTCAGACTAAAAAGTTGGAGGGAAAAGATCATGACCCCGCTATATAAAGTTCGGAAGGCAGGAAGTGGACAGTAAAAACCTTCCGCATATCAACATATACATAAAATAAGCTTAAACAAGACTTCTACCATAAAAGCTTTCACTATGGCAACAATACGAGCTATAATTCTTATAGGTGGCACGATGATGTTAGCAGCGGCGGCGGCAGCGGCGGCGGCGCAAGAATCAGAAGCTCTGGCATTGTTGGAGAGTGGGTGGTGGAATGGCTACGTCAACAACACTGCAAATCATTGTAGTTGGCCTGGCGTAACATGCAACCATGATGGAAGCATAATCGAGATTAGTCTTCCGGATTATGTTCAAGTGGGAGAAAGATTTAGAAAGATGAACTTTTCTGCCTTCCCCAATCTTGTTTTGTTTCAACTTCGAAATCAAGAATTCAACGGGACCGTGAGCATGCCTCCTAGTTTGGGTAATTTAACCAATCTCAGATCATTGCTTATTGTGGGAAACCGACTTGGGGGATCCATACCACCGGAAATTGGGAACCTTAAGAATCTGGTTACTTTGGATCTTTCTAACAACTGTCTTTTAGGTGTAGTTCCTTCCACTTTAGGTCAGTTAACCAATTTAGTTACTATGCAACTATCCTTCAACATAATTGATGGTCCAATACCCTCATCCTTGAGTCAATTACCCAATCTGGCATATCTTAACCTTTGGTCTAACAACGTTAGAGGTTCGATCCCTCGAGAATTAGGAAATATGAAAAATCTCAGCTTTTTAAATTTGGGAAAAAACCAAATTTCTGGTCCAATACCTCGAACTTTGGGTTTTTTATCCAAGTTAAAGCACTTAAATCTTCAGTCCAACCAAATCAACGGTTCCATCCCCTTGGAAATAGGAAACTTAGAGAACCTAGTTGATTTGCGTCTTGGTTCTAACAACATCAATGGTTCAATCCCTTCCACTCTGTTTCATCTGCCCAGATTAAGGGGCTTGTATCTTAGATCCAATCTTTTAGAGGGCCTGATACCTGGAGAAATTGGTAATGCAAAATCCTTGCAGTTCTTGGACCTAGGGCAGAACAGGTTGAGTGGTGTCATCCCCTTCCAAATTGGTAATCTTTCTATGCTGTCGGAGTTCTATGTTGATCACAACTTCATCAGTGGAGACATACCTTTCCAACTTGGGAATTTAAAAAATTTATCGACCTTGGATCTCAGCCAGAACAATCTTACAGGTACAATAACGTCGACAACCTCATAATTTGTTTGCTTAGATTTTCACTGATTTATTTCAATCCCTTTAACCAGTATGGAATATCTAATTAATTTGTTCATACTGCTCATGGAAAAGAACAAACTAACTGGCCCAGTCCTTTTTGACATTTGTAATGACACAAGGATTTGATTCATTTGTATCACAGGTTCAATCCCTCGCACTTTGCTTCATTTGGCCCATTTGAGGAGCTTGCATCTAGATTCAAATCTTTTAGAAGGTCATATACCAAAAGAGATTGATAATTTGAAATCTTTGCAGTATTTGAATCTCTCTCAAAACAGAATGAGTGGAGGCATCCCCACCCAAATTGGGAGTTGCTTGAATTTAAAGGAGCTATCATTGAGCTATAACTCCTTGAGTCGAAGCATTCCCCTTCAAATTGGCAGTCTCTCTATGCTCTCACGAATTGATGTCAGCCACAATTCCATTAGCGGAGAGATACCTTCCCAACTTGGGAATTTATCAAACTTGGGGGCCTTAGATCTAAGTTACAATAATTTCTCAGGCTCCATTCCAAGCAACTTGCTTCATCTAACCAATTTGAGGGGCTTGTATCTTGGTTCAAATCTTTTACAAGGTCATATTCCCACAGATATTGGAAAATTGAAATCCTTGCAATATTTGAATCTCTCCTGCAATAGAATGAGTGGACCTATCCCTACTCAACTTGGGAGTTGCCTGAATTTAGAAGAGCTGTCATTGAGCTACAACTTCCTGAGCGGAAGCATCCCTCTTCAGATTGGCAATCTCACTAAACTCTCAGTAATTGATGTCAGCCACAATTCCATAAGCGGAGAGATACCTTCACAACTTGGCAATTTAACGGGCTTAGATCTCAGGTACAATAATCTCTCGGGCTCCATTCCAAATAACTTGCTTCATCTAATTGATTTGATCTACTTGTATCTTGATTCAAATCTTTTAGAAGGTCCTATACCTGGAGATATCGGGAATTTAAAATCCTTACAATATTTGAACCTTTCCCAAAACAGATTGAGCGGATCCATTCCTCTTCAATTTGGCAATTGCTTGAAACTAGTGAATTTGTCATTGAGCAATAACTTCTTAAGTGGAGAGATACCTTCCCAACTAGGGGATTTACCAAATCTAGAGGCCTTGGATCTTAGTTACAATAATCTCTCAGGCCAAATCCCAATTACCTTGCGTAAGTTTCCAGAGAACTTGTTCATAGGCAACAAGGGTTTGTATGATCATCCTAGCAGCCCCCTTACTCGCCCTAATTCTCTGACAAAAAATATAAAAACAAGCAACAAAGCATGGAAGCGTGTTAAAATTATTCTTCCAAGCACCTTTTCTCTTGCCTTGGTGGTATTTCTGGGATTATTGTTGCTTGCCCAAAGAATAAATAAAGCTAAGAGTAAGGAAGCAGATTCAAGTCCAAAGAAAAATGGAGATATTTTTTCAATGTGGAACTTTGATGGAAGGGTTGTATTTGAAGACATCATTGAAGCAACTGAGGATTTTGACATCAAATACTGCATTGGTACAGGTGGCTATGGCAGTGTTTATAGAGCACAGTTGCCCAATGGTAAAGTAGTCGCTTTGAAGAAACTTCATCGAAGGGAAGCAGAGGAGCCAGCTTTTGACAAGAGTTTTAGGAATGAGATTAAGATGTTGTCAGAACTACGACATAGGAACATTGTGAAGCTTCATGGATTCTGTTTGCACAAGCAATCCATGTTTTTGATCTATGAATACATGGAAAGAGGAAGCTTGTTTTGTGTGCTCACAAATGTTGAAGAAGCTGTGGAACTGGATTGGAACAAAAGGGTGAATGTCATAAAAAATACAGCGCATGCTTTGTCTTACCTTCACCATGACTGTGTTCCACCTATTCTTCATCGGGACATATCATGCAATAACATTCTTTTGAACTCAGAATTAGAGGCTCTTGTTTCTGACTTTGGAAATGCTAGGCTTTTGGACCCTGAGTCATCCAATCATACCATGCTTGCTGGTACTTTTGGCTATATTGCCCCAGGTTTTGTCCTCTCCATTCCCTATTTTCTTTTAATCTCTACTTTGTTGTCAAATTGGTAGTAGCATATAAAATGTTTGCTTTTTCTTTACAGAACTTTCTTATACAACTACTATGACCGAGAAGTGTGATGTTTATAGTTTCGGGGTTGTGGCATTAGAAGTACTAATGGGAAGGCATCCTAGAGAACTGCTACAATTATTATCATCACCATCTTCTTTACGAAACATGATGCTAATTGACATCCTAGATACGCGTCTCTCTCCTCCAGAAAACAAGACTATCATACAGAATATTACAGTTGCTGCTACACTTGCATTTGCTTGCTTGCGTACGAAACCCAAGTCTAGGCCAACAATGAAATTTGTGTCTCAACAATTTATTGGGTGCCAAAAACCACTTACGAAGCCTTTTCAAGCTATTTCTCTATTGGAACTTGTGACTAGTGAATTAGGAATGGAAAATGAAAGAGAACTTCAACTTGAAGTTTGAGGGCATCCAAATGAGTTTTATCTTCCTCAAATTAGATGCAGTTGAGTTCCCTCTCTGGGTCCTCTCTTTTTTTAATTTTACTTGTTCATTTTCATGTAAGAATTTCATCCAAGTCCTATCTTATTATAGTTTTATTTGTTATTGTCTAATCGTAATAATAGTTTGTATGCTCGATTTGCATCCTAAATATTGAATTTGATGAATGAAAATTACCTTTTTTTACCACAAAAACGACGCCAAGTCTTGGAAATTTTCGCATTGAAACATGTTATTGAAATATAGCAAAGGTTTTGAGAGGAG